TATAAGGCTATTAGCTAAAGTTAATTCCTATTTAAAATATATATAGTAATAATTAAAAAACTCCTTATTACCTTATAAGATTATATTAAGGTTTATTATTACTATAAACTATTAATAAGGGTTATTAAATACTATCTTAAGGTATTTTAGGAATTTATATAGGTTTATTATACCTTAGGGGTTATTTATTTTAAAGTATATAGTAACTTTTAGTTATAATATAATACTAAGGTTTACTTAAATATATATAAATTAAGACTTTAAAAGGCTAATAAAGTCTATATTAGTTTCTAGCTTATATACTATAACTTACTTTTATTCTATAAATATCTTAAGATTATTATTAAACTTCTTCCTTATAAGTAAAGGCTTTTACTAAACTATAAATAGGTTAACTAAAGAAGGGGTACCTTTTAATACTATTATCTAGCCTTAAAGGTTTTAACTAGCTATAACTTAGGTATTAAAAAGGTCTTATAGTTATTATAGTTTCTCTTTTAAGAATATATTCTACTTTATTATAGCTATAATCTAGACTAGGAGTATTTAGTAGGCCTTAGCTATTAGTAACTATTATTTAGGTTATAGTTTTATTATTATTACTTTTATCTTATTAGCTTTTCTCTTAGTTAAGTAAAAAAGGTATTAATATATAAGAGAGTTAATTATTAAAGACTAGCCTTAAGGTATTTATAGATAGGTATTATAATAGTATTAACTCTTTTATAGAGTAAAAAAGAAGGAAAAGCTAGTCTATTTATCTACTCTAATATATAAAGGGGGTATACTAGGGGTATGCCTATAGTAACCTTAGGCTAAGCCTAGTCTAGAGTAGGCCTAAGCCTAACTCCTTTATAATTTTCTATAGTTTTATATTTTTACTTAAGTATAAAATATATATATTTATAGAAGTAAAAGTACTATATTTACTATAAAATACTATATAAGGTATTAAGATAAAGAAAGGTTAAATACCTTTACTTATTAAATAGCTAGTAAAGGGTTCTATAAAGAAGAAAGAGATTAAGCCTTAGAAGTTATAGGAGTTATAGTTATTACTTATATTTAAAGTTTATAGGCTTTATATTATTATATTTTAAAGAAAGAAGTATCTTAATAATTAGCTAAAAGCTAATATTATTATTTATTTTATTTAACTTTAATTAATCTAGCTTTAATTAATCTATATTATCTTTTTATACTTTTTTTATATATAATAGTATTTATAAATTTATAAATATATAGTTATTATTTATCTATTTATAGTTAATACCTATATAATTATAAAAGTCTTTATTAAATAGATATATATAAAGCTTACCTTAAATAGTAAAGTTAGTTTTTTTTATATATTTATTTATTATAAAGAAGTTATTTTAATACCTAAGTATTTACTTATAGTACTTTTATATATCCTTATTTAAAAAAAGGATATTATTAATAATAATATAGTCTTTATTACTATTAAATAATAATATATTTTAATAACTACTTATATAATAATAGGCTTTAAGCTAATAGGCTTATATAGTTTTATAAAGCTATATCTTATTAAAGATATAGAGAGACTTAAGATAGGCTAGGTATAGGGATATATAAAGGTTTTCTAATAGCTAGCTTTTAATCTCCTAAGGTAGGACTTAGACTCTACCTATTAGAATAGGTAATATATAGACTAGTATAGGTAGCTAGAATATATTATCTATATATACTTAGATATTTTTATAATAAAGAATTAAATTATATAATACCTTATTACTAAGATATAAGAAAAAGCTAGATTTATTTTTAAAGGCTACTATATTCTTCTATATTATAAACTTAGCCTTTTACTAAAAAGCTTTAAGCTTTTATATATTATTATTAATATACTTTATACTATATTTATTAAGGTATTATTATATAATAAAATAACTCTTTATTTTTTAAATATTAAGGTAATATTAACTAATATTAAAGAACTTAATATTCTTAATATTATACTTCTAAGGCTACTTACTAATTATATAAAAGTATAGTATCTTATCCTTATACTCTTTTTATACTATATAAAAGTATTTAAAGTTAAAGGATTTAATACTATTAAGGAAGTCTTATATAGGTAAGAAGTACTTAGGGTATATAAAGAATACTAACTTTATTACTAGCTAAAACTAATATCCTATAGACTTTATAGGTATTAATAGTATATTATTATTATTATTATTATTAAAGGTACTTAAGATTACTAGGCTTAGTACTTCTTTAAAGATATTCTTAAGTTACCTAGCTAATAGTAGCTAATAGTCTTATAACTAGTTATATAATAGTATTATATAAGGAGTTATTAATAGCTAGTCTAGCTATATAGATAAGATATTATTAAATATTTATATAGGATTTATAGTAGTTATTATAAAAAGAGAAAGGATAAGGGATATAATAGGACACTCTAAGGTTAGTATCCTACCTATCTTATATATCAACTATTGCTGCTAGTATGACTTAGGTAATCCCGCGAGAAATCAGGCTGCCAAGCAGCAGACACTATAGCAAGCTTTTTTAATATTACCTATATTATTACTTTATATAATATTCTTTATAATAAAAGCTTTTAATAGCCTTTAAAGATTATTATTATATTATACTAATTAGACTAGTTAGTCTATTTAGTATCTTTATAGCTTATAAGATAGGAAAAAAACTAAAGTACTTAGAGGAAAAACCCTAGCTTTAGTATAGGTTTAATATAATCTTAGAGTAATTCCTAGTAAGAAGTAGTATACTCCTTATCTTAGTAAAAGATAATAATAATAAGTATAAATATATAAAACTTAGTAAGCTAATAAACCTATTTATCCCCTACTTAACCCCTTTAACCTTCTCCTCTTATAGCCCTATTTTAGCCTAGACTAGGTACTATATATAGTTAAGGTCCCTTTTAAATCCTAATCCTTAAATACTTTAAAGTATAAGTAGGTATAGTAATAGCTATAGAGGCTATAATACCTACCCTTATTATTCTTCTCTTTAGCTTCTATAGTTTATTTTCTATATTATCTATACTAAATAGGTAAGAATCTTACCCCTTATAGGGCCTTACTTATCCTAAGACTAGTTAAGATAGCCTTACTACTTTCCTATTTCTATACGCTTCTATACCTATCTTTACTTCTTACCTTATAATTACTCTATTTATATCCCTATACCCCTTTAAAGCCCTTAGATCGATATTAGCCCTTATATAGCCTACTATGTTTACTATACTAGGTAGGGAAGGTACTATAGCTATATATATTTAATTATTATGCCTTTAAAGATTATTAATCTTTATAAAAAAAGTATTTAAAAGGTTAATTATTTAATTTATATTATTATAAAAATAAATTAAGAATCTAATAACTAGTAAATATATAAAATTAAAGAAACTATTTATAACTATTTACTTTTTATTAAACTAAGTATATATATTATATATTAAAAGTATATTAAAAATTAAATAAAGCTTTTTATTAATTTTATTAAATATTAAGTTTTTTTAGCTTATAAGGTTAATAAAATTATTTATAATACCTATTCTAAAAAAAAGCTTATTTTTATAAAGAAAGATATATATAATAATTATTAAAAAATATAAATTATAAATCTTAATAGCTTTATACTAACCTAATAATAAATATAAATTCTATAATAAAATAACCTTTACTATATTATTAATTTTAAAGGCTTTATACTTATTAAAATCTTCTAGATTTACCTTTAATATAAACTAATATAAAAGTAATTTTTATATATTATTAAATATAATAATATATATAAAACTAATTACTTTAAAATATATCTTTTTTAAGTTATTAGTATTATTAATTAAAACTTTATTATTAATTTAATTTAAAACTTAACTAATTATAAAATCTTTAATAACTATAATTAGCTTTTAGTTTAACTTAAATCCTTTTAATAAGTTATTAATATTTAATAACCTTATATTATTATTATAAATAATAAAACTATATTTAAAAAGGTATTCTTTTTAATATAATTAAATATTTAATAATAGCTTTATATATTTTATATTAATATTAATACCTAATAAGTAATTTATACCTATTAAAAGCCTTTTTTTAATAATAAAGAAAAACTAATAATTAATAAAGCTAAGGTTAATATTAAGATTAGCTAGCCTAATAGTACTATTATTAAAAATAATAACTATATTAGTATATTTACTATTTAAAAAAGGGTTATATTTATATTAACTAGTAAAGATTTTAAATAAAATTAAAAAAAGATATATATTAAATTTACTTATTAAAAGAATATTTTAAATTATATTTTTAAATAATATTTCTTTTTTATTAATTAATAAGCTTAATATAAAATAAAGAAATATTATAACTTTAATTAATAAATAAATTCTTTAAATAAGACTTATTATAAAAATCTTAAATTCTACTTTATTAATAATAATAATAACTTTTTAAAGCTTTATAAAGCCTTTTTATAAATAATAAAAAAGAAAAAATAATAATATAAAGAAAATATAGTTATAATAGTTTATTATTAAATAAAAAAATTTAATTATAAGTAGTTTAATAAGCTTATTATATTAATTTTTTAAATAATATTAAAATTAATTATTATTAAATATAATAAAGTTATAATTTTAATCTTATATTTAAATAATCTTTATTAGTATTTTCTTTTAACTAATAAAATATACTATTTTATAAATTAATATAGATTTTTTTATATATATTAATTAAAAACTTATA